ATGGAGACGAGAGAGAGAGAGTCAGGATGCTGCGGGCTGCGGCATCTCACGGTACGGCGGTACGGAGGTACGGGAGTACATCCCCCGGCGCTCTTGCCCATGTCCGCTCAGTGCCCTGGCCAGAAAGTCCCTTCCTTTCTAAGTTCCCTCTTCGCTTCCCGTCTGCTGCTCAGCTCAGCTCAGATTGGAAAGTGCCCTCTTCACTCCTTGTCGTTCACACCCTCCATGTCTACATACCTACTAGGTAAGGTACGGGGTGATTTACAAAATACCAATTATGCCCTTGAACGTGCTTGGTGTTCGTAGCTGCCCAGTACCGTGTAACGTGTTGCCGCTCGCCTCATCACTGGGAAGCTACTGCCTGACTAAGGATTCAGCAATCGAGACTCCCGTCGGAAACACGCACTTGCCAACGCGGCCCCAAAAGTCGAGGCACGGGAATGTGGGGAGTTCTGGGACACCAGAGTCGCATACAACACGCGGCTTGGCCGAACATTTCATCTTCAATCAGCTATCTGCCCGTGCCTCGTTCCAACTTCCGAGACGATAATGATTGGGAGCCGGGGGGGAGGGGGGCAGGTAATCATGAAAGGAAAGAGGCAGAAAGAGAGAGAGAGCAGCAGAGACAACCTCCAAGACACGCCACTCTAGCTGGCGCCGCCCGAGACGCCTTTCCCCCCCGCCTCCGTCTCCGTCCCGAGTCTTGCCATTCGACGATTCGAAATCTCTCGATATGCCCTGTGCCCTTGTTGTTGTTGTTGCTCCTGCTATGTCTGGGCTGGCGCCTTATCCGAACCCTGTCTCCCGTGCCTGAGGTGATCCAATCTTGTTGGCCCTCTTGCAGCATCGCTTGCCCGTTTCTGCGAGTCGGCGACCACACTGTCCGCCCACAACACACACACCTCTAGCAGATCCAACCTGTAGGCTGCCCGAAGGGTGGTATCCGTCATAACTCATTGCTTTTAGGATGCCGACAGCCGACGGGAGACCCTTTCCTTCGAACACACTGAGGGATTGACAACCAATGTCTGCCTGCCTCTGTCTGCCTTATTACACGAGACCCCGACCAATCAGTCAACCAATGGCTTAGTTCCATTCGGCCAGAGGCCGTGTAGTGTTTAATAGACAAGTATACGGATGGTATACGTGAAGCATGTCGTCCCAGTCCACTCAAGATTCAGGAACAAGAAATGTAAAAATAGCGGAACTGTAAGGCAAGACGTACGGATAACATCCCATACCTTTGATCCCCCATTCACCCAATCCCACCCCCCGTTTTGCCAAAAATTGCTGTATACAGATACGCCTTCGAGACAGACTATGCCTCCTCTTCCCACTTCCTCGAACCTCAAGCATAGTCTCAAAGAGGAGAGGGGAGAGGAAACAACACAGAAACCCGCTAGCTTACCTCAGACTGAGAAGTAAAAGACCACAAACTGTGATTCGGCCGGCACCATCCTCTGTGCTTCTCGACCTTCCCCCTGGGACCTAGGTACCCTCGTCGATATTGACATCGGCAAAATAGACGCAGGCCAAGACCAACAGCCCAATATAAGCCTTGAGGTACTGCTGCGTTGAGTGGGATCAGGGCCTCCTCCGCTATAGTCAAGTCGTAGACCCAGGCAGAATTCACCTTTCTTGGCGGTTACACCGTTTCTTTGAAGGCTGCGGATCTCCGCCCGATCTGGGACTCCGACGTGGAACCTTTCTTGGCTGGCGGGAAAGAAACAGTTCAGGGTCGACTTGTCAGCAGCAACATAGCCCTCATAGGCAAATAAACGCCGGCACCTTTGGTCAACATCAGTGGAGCGCTGTGCACTGGGAGCACGGCCTTCCGTCTGACCCTTCGGCCGCAGCTCCTCATCCTCGTTTCGCCTCATCGTCACTCACTTCACATTTGGGCGTGCGCCGGACATACATAGTAAGCGACTCGGGGAATATTTGCTTGCTTCGACAAGCCTTGTTTCGTTTTAACCGTCTGGTATCATGCTATTAATGTCTCGTCTCTCTATTTCTTTCGCACCCCATCGATGCTCTCTGTTCGAGCATATACCATGTTGATGCCCTGTGCTCAGCCTCATGATCCTCAGTCCCTTATTTCCCCAAACTCTCCAGTGACGTTTCGATCAATATCCAGACAACCTATTCTTTTGACATCCATTGCCCTGCCGACCGTGTCCATCGACCCGCAACAAATCCCCAAAAACGCCACGTGCTATGCCTTTCCGGACTCCGATGCCATGCAAAATGCACAATGAACCCAAGTACTTCTACACTTTTATGCTATGCTGTAATGATCAATCCAATGCTTCGCCGCTGAGAATGCTCGACAAAATACCCGCTCCGACACCCTCGGCAATGTTCTCCATTTCCTTCTCGCCAACGCAGCTGGCCACTCGCTTGTCCTCTCCGGTGGGAAGCGCCGCCTTGCGGCCTCTCTTGCTGGGTGTCTGTGTCATCACAAGTCCACCTGTCTTTCCATCAACAGGGTTGACCAAACCCAGTGTCTCCAAACTTCCGATGACCTCTCGAAACTCTGAGCTTGACAGCGGGTGCAAAACTGAGTCTCTAGTACAAAGGATAGAATACGTCTCGTACAGAGTTTTGACTGTGGGTGCCATCGTTTGTGACTTGGTGGGGGTAGACGGGCCAGTGGTCATCCTCAGCGCTCGGTTGCGTTTCTCGAGGGCCACCAATGAGCAGAGCGCCGCCTTCTGTTGAAGGTTGAGTGCTTTCAGCCTCTGATTGGTTCCGTTGCTGAAGGCCGCCTGCGTAACTTGGTTCAAATGCTTGAGGAGCACACGGGGTGCACTCTCGGCTGTCAGCGCCTTAAGGGATGTTGCAGCGACGTGTGAGACGCTCCTCGAGGACCCGCTGGAGCCGGCCATATTCGCATTTTCGCCGAGAGGCTTCCGGGACGGTGTCATCTGCAGAACCTTTTCTCTTGCTTCGTTCTCGTGTTGCCGTCTGGTCTCTGACTCAACCACGTCCAGTGCTCTTCGGCAGATTTCGAAAGCCTTGCGCAAATCCCCAGTCTGACTCGAAACCTTGCGCGAGCAAAGCTCAATCGCCGCAGGATGGAAAAAGGGAAGCGTCTTGTCGCTGCTGTCGGCCGGCAACAACGTCATCAGACGGGTGCTGATGATACTCTTGATTTGCGCGGCTGAATATGGGTGGAAGGGAAGAAGATCCGGCTTGAGGTTCTTGGATTTCAGACGCGGCAGAAAGCGGTCGGTGAGGTCGAGGGCGTTCGCAATTCCAATAAGCACCAGTCGCGAAGGCTGCTGCAGAGACCATTCAAACAATCGGTACAGGCTTTCCAAACCCATCGTCAGGATGTGGTCGATTTCATCCAAGACGAGCAAGTAGACAGGTGAGCCCTTCTTCTTCGTCACAAAAATATTTTGCAATTCCTCCATGGCCAATGCTTCCGGCAGATCGCTTTCGTGTCCAAGAAGCTCTAACAAGGTATTGTAGAGGTCCTTTGATGACTTAACACTCATGCAATTGACATATGCTTGACGCACAGCGGTCGATTCTGTGGACTTATCCGTAATCTCCTTAACCATTGCGCTTTTCCCGGTTCCAGGGGGGCCGCTGACATAGAGACATCCATTGGGGGTTGTGGAGGAGCAGCGTTGAACGAATTCCGTCAGTTGCTCTCGTTCTTTCTCGCGTCCGACAAGCTCGCCTGGGTCGGCACCCCGAGCAAAGAGCTGCCGGGCAGAATGGTAGATGGTTTGGAGAGAGCCGGGAGTCAGGGGAGATTGGGGCGTCAGCCTCTGGAAAAGCTTGCCGGCAGACTTGACAACCTGGCGAGGGGTCGAGGGAGAGTTCGCGAAGACATCACGGTGTCTTGGGGTCTGAGGCGTGATTGGGATCGACTTCAAGAAGTTTTGGGAAGGGGAACGTCGGAGCTTCTTCGCAGCCGGCTCAACGTAGGTGTCGTCGGGATCGTTGTCGACATTTGGCGTGGTGGCAGTTACTTCGGGATCCGCGTTTTCGTCGTTCTCTGAAGCAGCTCGGGTTTGCCGTCTGGTACGCTTGGCAGGAAGGTCGACCAAATCTGGGCTGTATGTGAGAAAGTGCGTTTGGCTTATAGGGGTGATAGGGCCTACCTTGATCCTGGACGGACCTCGTCCGCTTGCCAAGTGAGGCACGAGACATTGTTGCTGGGGATTATAATTATGGTGAAGAGGCAATCGTGACTGACAATTCCAAAGTAGACAACGCAGGAAAGCTTGTTCGAGGTACCAACAAAAGTGAAGTAGGAAGTATCGAGGTGTGGGAAGTCGAAAGCTGTAAGTGGAACCGCAGAGTCTTAATTAAGTGGTAGGCGCGCGCCAGCACGATGACCGGGGAACGACGCGATGCCAGGATCGCGGAACGCGCTTTCTCGCGATTCAATTAAACACGGCTCGGTAGAGTATCTTGGTCCGTGCGTACGCGACCCAGAAAGACGGGGTCTTGTCTTCGGGCCTCCCCTACTTCCGGGCTCGTGCGCAGCGGTACCTTACATAATGCAATTGGGACACGGTTGGTTTCACAGTGTCGGCTCATATCGCCTACGACCGCACTGTCTACCCCTGTTTCCCCATGACGGCCACAGACGGCTTGTGGCAATCGACGACCGGCCTATTGAGGCAGCGGAGGTGCCCGGCATTCTAGCATGAACGGCGGACAAAGCCGCCATCCCACGATACCTGTCTTGGCTCATGGCAATCTTCCTTTTCCTCGCAGATGTGTTTTGATTCTCTCCCACAATGACACACAGACAATCTCTGAATTCATATACACATTCACTCGGATATGCATGGGCTTGGACGGGCATTTCGTCTCACCTAATCCGGCGCATTTGTTAGACAGAGGGGTCACTAGGTCACTAACGTTCCCAACGTTGCTGTTTACCTACTTCCATATCCCTCCCTAATAACCCTGACTACCAACTCATATTTTGCCTTTTACGACCTGTGGTGTTCGTGGAAACACTTTTCACCGTCATGGTTGACGCGGATATGAGAAGCTATAACTCCCGAGTGGATGAGTTCAGGGGTAGGGAGTTCCCCATGATCAAAGGTTCATTGGTTCATCAACTACAATTATTCTATCTCAACTTACTGACCAACAACACAGACTCCATATATCTCGACCATGCCGGAACAACGCTATATGCCAAGTCTCTGATTGACAGATTCTCTGCAGAATTGACGTCAAACTTGTTGGGCAACCCCCACTCCGCTTCGCCTTCTTCTCAGTATAGCACCTCTCGCATTGAAGATATTCGCCTCAGACTTCTCCGTTTTTTCAACGCTGACCCTGAGGAATTTGACTTGGTCTTCGTTTCCAACACCACAGCTGGGATCAAACTTGTTTCCGACGCCTTCCGAGCCTCACCAGAGGGCTTTTCTTACATATACCACCAAGCTTGCCACACAAGTATAATAGGGGTTCGCGAAGAGGCGCGTGAGAGCAGATGCGTTGCGGATGACGATGTGAGACGTTGGATTGATGGGAAATCTCCTCTGGATGATTCGGAAGCATCAGACTCGCCCACGCTATTTTCATATTCAGCTCAATCTCATATGGATGGGCGACGTTACCCGTTAACGTGGCCATCTCTACTGCGAGAGTCGCCTGCCGTCTCGCACCGGCAATTTTTTATGCTATTGGACGCAGCCTCACTAGTGGCCACTTCTCCTCTAGATCTCAGTAACTCGGAGACGGCACCCGATTTTACGGTTTTGAGTCTTTACAAAATCTTTGGCTTTCCAGACCTTGGCGCTTTGATTGTTAGAAGGCAGGCCGAGCCGATTTTCAACCAAAGGCGCTATTTCGGGGGTGGCACCGTCGATATGGTTGTCTGCGGAAAAGAAAGATGGCATGCTCCAAAATCGACGTTCCTTCATGAAAGGCTAGAGGACGGCACTCTTCCATTTCATAACATCATAGGACTTGATGCTGCTCTAGATGTTCACGCAGAGCTCTTCGGAAGCATGAGTAGCGTAGCATCGCACACAGCATTCCTCAGAAACCGACTATACGATGGACTTGCCAGCCTCAAACATGGAAATGGGCTGCCCGTCTGCACTATCTACTCAGAACGGCGCAGCGAGGTTAATGGCTCAGTAGGAAGCGGGCCACTCATCTCGTTCAACATTCGCGACGCTGCCGGAGCCTGGATCAGTCTATACGAGCTTGAAAAATTAGCCATGTTGAAGAACTTACATATTCGAACCGGCGGCGTCTGCAGTCCTGGAGGTATCGCTTCAGCACTCGGCCTGAGCCCATGGGAGATGAGGAAGAATTTCTCCGCTGGGTTTCGCTGCGGCACTGACCAAGATGTCATCGCTGGAAAGCCGACTGGCGTTATTCGAGCAAGTCTTGGTGCGATGAGCACTATTTCCGACGTTGACTTCCTAATCGACTTTATTGATGAATTCTATCGAGAAGAAGTGTCAGTTGATGACTGTCGCGCCGAAAACCAGACTTCATCGATAGGGTTCCAGGTCCAGGGCATCAGCGTCTACCCGATCAAGAGCTGTGGCGCCTTTTCTGTTCCGCTCGGTATGGACTGGGAAGTCATGCCCGAAGGTCTGGCTTGGGATAGAGAGTGGTGTCTTGTCCACCAAGGGTCAGGACAGGCACTAAGCCAGAAGAGGTATCCCAAGATGGCCCTCATCAAACCCACTCTTGACTTCGACGGTGGCGTGCTGCGTGTAGCGTACAGAGGGAGAAAACTCTCTCACCTACCCGACGAGATCTCAGTTCCTCTATCTGCGGATCCCACTTACCTCGAAACAAACGGCGGCCCTCGTGAGAGGTCCTCACGAGTATGCGGCGACAAGATTACGACGCAAGTGTATGCCTCCGATCATGTCAACGGCTTCTTCAGTGATATTCTCGGTGTGCCATGCGCATTGGCACGATTTCCAGCGGGAGGACAGGGACCAAGTATGCGTCACTCAAAAGCCAAGGTGCAGAAACATCAGCACCCTCAAGTTTGGGTCCCAAAGGGGAGTTTCGGGGCATCTCCAGAGTTGCCTTCTCCGCCGGATTCGGACTCTGAACAATCACCAGCAAAGATTCTACTTTCCAATGAGAGCCCAATACTCCTGATCAATACATCGAGTTTGCGCGCCCTCAACGACGAAATCCAGGCAACTGGCGGGGAACCAGTTCCCTCCGAAGCATTCCGAGGCAATATCTTGGTCGGGCCAACTCAAGATCCTGACCATCTCCCATGGGCAGAGGATGGATGGACAAAACTCACGATTGGTGGTGAGGATTTCACTATGCTGGGATCCTGCCGCAGATGCCAGATGGTATGCGTCGACCAGGAGAGCGGCGAAAGACACCAGGAACCTTTCGTGACGCTGAGCAAGGTCAGAAGGTTCGACGGCAAAGTGTACTTTGGCACTCATATGAGCCATGATTCCACTAAGGCACTGCTCGGAGAAGGAACGCGCCGTCCAGTGATACGAGTCGGCGACATGGTCAGTGTAGGAGCATGATGTAAGGTACTTCAGAAAGGCTTGGCTGGCATCGGTCAAGATGAATGTCAGTATATGTTCTCAATGAAATACAGACCCCACAGCGGCTGCTCCGTTCAAATAAGCCATAGTTGCCCTCGCACCTTTGCTGTGAAGTTCACTGTTCCAAGGTGATAAGCCTCGGTGGTTGCTCCCATAAGAAAGAAAAGGACCTGATGTAACTAATTAGATCCACCTGCTGGAATGGAGTTCCACTTTCTTCATTCTATGGAAGTCAGGGCTGGTTTCTCGTACTCAAAACTCGTCAGGTATCAGGTAGTGCCAGCGAAGAAAGCCAGCAATTAATGATTGAAATGAGCATTTAGCTACTTAACCTACTAGTACTTAAGCTTTACTATGTACCGATATGTAAGGTAGGTACAGTGCGCGCTTTCCTTACTAAAAGTGACTTAGGTGAGGTACCTTGCCTTAACAGCGCTCGTGCGCCTATCCTTTCCCGGAAAATGTCGCGTCCTGCAGCTGCAGCTTTGAGTCTATCACGTCTGCTTCCCAAGAAAGTAGGCTGTCTCGTTTCTTCGATTTGTATTCTTACCGTGAGAACGTTTTTCAAACCTTTTTGATCAATAATTGCTACTTTTCCAGCATCTTGCAGCAGCTGAGGGAAGCGCGCCAGCTTCCTAGCTTCTCCCGGTTGATTTACCACCACTGACGCGCGACAGGTCGGGTGCCCTGGCCCATGAAGGTAGTTTCCACCACCCCCTCCACACATCCCTACAAATACCCACCTCTAGCCCTCCTCTCCCTCTTCGGCCTTCTCCTAACTTCACATCCTCCACCACGACTTCTCGACGCCGTCAAGTCCCAGAGGCAATCAACAATCTCCCCGCACCATGGATGGTTGAGCAAATTTCCCGTGTTGTGCCTCTGAGCCAACAGCTTTCTTTTTTCTACCACCCTTTCACGATATTTGCTATCATTTGCAAGCTCGTTGATCCTGCTCCCTCCGCCCGGAAGACTTTCTATCCCGACAGGTTAGTCTGCGACGGCATGCTCCAACGATGATGACCAGACTGCTGCCTCTCGTGGCCAGTCGCAACATAAGGTGCTGCGGTAATCTTGAGTCGTTGCTCAAGGTACGCAGTCGCAGCCTTGTTCTGCTTGTTGGGCTTTGCCTAACGGCAGCAGTCCCAGCTTCCAGACATGCTGTCGGCCGACAAAGCAAGTGAGCTCATATGAGCTGCCCTTTCTCCACCATCACGAATATATCACCGTACTGTGCTTTGCGCAGTGATCAGGGGCTTTGGAGGTGCACGCGGTGTTAGGCTGCAGTTTAGCCTAAGACATCCGTTCGGCTTCGCTGGCCTTTTCTTCGTCACTTTGTCCTGGGCAGGACGTAAAAAGGCCTTGGGGTTGTATCATGGCAACGAATGGACGACATAGAGAGGCAAATACAGCCCGTATATTGAGGTTACGTTTATGATACTCGTGATGGAGTCACATGTGGTATGTCCCGAAAACCTTGTATAGCTCTAGCAAGACAGCTCCCCGACTAACCCACTTTAGCAACGATCTCTAGACTTGCGACGTTCCCAAGGCTGGGCAACCAAGACGTACGACACCATCTCCTTTCTTCAGCAATTAGACTTCGACATACTCTACCTAATTCTGATGACCCGCCACGATAATGACATGTTTGTCTGAGACTTTGGCATTCTTGGTTCTTTTCTTTTGCCAAACGGTATGGATAGTAAGTACTTTGCACTGTACTTGTCCTGCCTTGATCGTACCGCTAACCTGAGCTACAGGACATTGGATCGAAAAAGGACGGTGCCCTGATCATGATTTGTCCTGGGCAGGACTTTAAAAGGCCCCGATTCTCTACGTTGAGGATCGGTACGGATGGGTTTGCAGCTGCAGTTCGGGAATTATGTCTGTCTCCCTCTGCGAATAGGAAAGGTTATCCTGGCAACCCAATTACGCCATTTGGCGCACGAACATGTCCAGATTGCGCTCAGATCCACGGATCACCGGATCATGAGCGTTGGACAGGTGGGCGGCTCCGGCCCCCGCCCCCGAAGATGGCCGATTTGGCCCCGGTCTCCGGACCGGCTTCCAGGCCCGCCGAAGGCAACCTGGTTGAAACGACGATCGAGATCGACAGCAATGTCAGTATTCCTTGTCACAATCGCCCTCTGGGCATATACCGTGTTTAAATTCGCATTATGCGGAACTATCGAGATGTAGCACGTACTCGCGTACTGTGTTTGGTGCTCTTCAGCTGCGAAGCTCAAGAGCCCGACCCACCGTTGCAGCTTGTGGGCGACTGATGGAAAAGATTGAGCAACACAACCGCTGTCGGAATCCTGACAGACGGGGGTACGCAGGCTGTTATATGTTTAAACAGTCTGCCTATCCAGTGCCTACAGACGGGGTCCTTTCTGAAGGAGATAAGCGCGATAGTAAGAGCGACATGCCGAGATCGTCACATCAACTCTCACGATTTCTCGCGGCAGAGGCTACTTTGCTCCGGAGCCAGCATCTCGGACTAGGCCGAGGAGGATCTACCCCACGATACACGCCACCACCCATTTGGGTGCCGATACGTGGGGACAACGTTTGTATTGGGGGCCCGAAAGGGCTCATGAGTTTGGGCTGGTCGCGTCTCTCTGATGTGGTCACATCTGTGGCCATGGAGAAAAGCTCGCGTCTCGATCAACAGTTTTGGGGTTCTACGGTGGGACCACGCGACAAGGGGAAGCAACAGGTGGGGTATTCTGGCTTCAAGCCATGGGAATGCAAGCCTGGCACTTGTTCCCGACTTTCGAGGTTGGTTAAAACTTTGACGACATTGGGGGACAGCGGGTGGAGGATTACTGTTTAGAGTGGGATGACTTTTGATTCCCTAGGATATAGTCCCGGCAGTCGTAATTCAGATCCGACATTTGTCCCCAACCACGTTCCCACTTGACTTTCCTTTTTGTGTTTTGCAACATGTTGACGGCAATGAACCACATGCCAGTTTTGATGTGTCGTGGTGTTCCTAGCGTCGACGGATGCTGTGGCAATGAACGAACTGAGTTAGGGTTGAAAACCTTTAGTTACTGGAGTACGTGGTCAACAAAATGTAGATCAACCATTTCCTCTGGTAGGCACACACCGCTACTCGAAATGTAAAACCCATCATCTTGACTCTCGGAATAGTGAACAAGTTGATCAGCTAAGGACTTGTTAACGAAAGGCTTTGTGTGTATTACATAATTATATAATACAGTCTTCAACAATGGTTAAAACCTGCCGCCAAGTTCAAGATCTGCCAAAATGCTCGCATGGGAGAAACATGTGTTTGTCACGATCGTCATGTAGGGTATTCAGGCCCAGTCAATAGAGATTGAAATTCCATACTCTGTACGACAAATTGTGATAGGCTTATATATGCCGTGTAACTTTACAAAAGCGAGTGCCTCAAAGGGCTTCTCGTCTGTCCCAAAACGCCAAACCCACTCAATCTTACAAACTCCCTTATCGCCATGCTCTTGTCACAAATATTCTATTTCGGGGGGCTAGCAGGGCCACGAGTCCAGCTACAAAGGCGCATTAGTATGGGGTGTGTGATATAAGCGTTGGGATAAACATACTTATGCCACATTTGCCCGATGAATCCCGGCGCCGGCTTTGAATCTGTCATTGATTGTCTACGGGCTGCGTTGCCGTCGTGGCGCTTTTGGTCCATGAGACCTTGGAAGAGGGTTCCAGAGCTCTAAGGTTTACACGTGTGAGCAGCGTGACGTGTGTAGGTGAATTCAAGGGGTTCTTACACGTCTGCGGCCGGTAGGAGAGACGGGGATATCAACGTTCTTGCTTGAGTCCATGATGATGGTTGGTGTTGTTCTGTGTGTGACTTGATATCTAATCGAAAGTGGCTTGTGGTTGTAGTTGTCAAGGCGTTTGTAGCAGTGATGCAATGAACGATCTCGAGGATATGAGGGGAAGAAGAGGAGGTATATAAGCAATCCGGCGTCACAGCTGGGTCGAAGCACCCACCACCTAGCTCGAGCTTCGACTTGCCATAGGGCATACGTTCAAGGTAGGTAGCTCGAACAAGGGCCCATGGTGATCCTGTACCACCCACACCCTGAGAATGACTTCACCAATGAGACCGCCGCCCACTCCCCTGACACAAGGGATGCGGGAAAGCTTGTCGATGGGCCGGTCAGAACGATGACGGTGTTTACTCGTCTGTCACCATCACACGCTAGAAAGACTAACGTCACTTGGCTACTTGGGGAACTACCATGCTAGTGTAAGGGGACTCGGGAACGGGGAACCCGCTCGAGGGAAAGGGTGCATCGTCGAATACCAGTGTAGGTAGTCTGCTGGTGTGCTATGGCTTTGTCAAGCAACGCTTCTGGCTGAGTTGGAGCACTGGTCACGAGGTATTGAAAGTAGGTACACTGACATGGCTTGGGTGAATGGTAGCTCTAAGCGTTAGACGTCACGGCAGAAGGTCGAGCGCTGGTGCTCTCCTCCCTCCATCATTTCTGCTGTGGTCTGCCGTCTTCGAACCAACTGGAAGTGCGTAATAGTCGATGGACAAGCAAGACATAGACCCCTAATTGCCCCTCGCTCTCGTTACCCCGCGCAGGTACATGGTCTGATCACACTGAGCCTGGCACGATTGATAGCTTGCGATGCGATGCAATGGCTCCCAGCTGGAGACAAGATGCTGGATTAGTCTGACATCAAGAGCCAGTCAGATGTCGTCGATCCTGAGAAAATGGCACGGTCTATCCTCTTTGAGCATTGAGTTTCCCGCTTCCCGAAGCATCTTGGAATTAGCAAGGGAGACCCCATGGTTGGAACGGATGACAATCGAGTGCCAGGCTTCGCTATGAAACCCATAGAAACATCTGAAGGGGGGGCTCGCTTCTTCTCTGCGGTGAGTATTGCTACGCTTGCTACGCTAGGCATGACTGCGGCGTTCTCCATGCAAGCCCTCGCGAATCATGAGCTCGACACGTGAT